CGTTATAGAAAAAAAATGTCATTATTGATTTATTAATTTCTTCATACAGATTATGTTCTCCTTTATTTTAATTTTGAAAGTTTTACTCAGACGATCGATGAAATAAAACAGTGTAGTGACGTGCCTAGTAACCTGCTAAATAACGAGATAATCTCGACGTCAAATTCTATTTTGTCCAGCGACAGTGTACAAACGTGCGCCGCTGACGATCACGGTGACCAGCTACACCAGAACGAACATATTTTGCATCTAACTCAAACCCATGCAACAAAAATTGATACTATGAGTTCATTATGGTCCATTCCTCCTCAACGAACAAGTACATAAGTGAAAATTTAGTCAAAGACGAGAAAACTGCAGAAATTTGTCTTATTTACACGTATCGGCAATGCAAGCTGCCATGCGACTTCCCCTTCTGACGTCACAAGGGGAATTTCTGCATGCAAATAAGAATCTAATGAGGAGCCTCCTTTTAAAATACACAAAAATAAAGTTGCCGTAGATTGAGTTTAAAACACATTTTTTCACTTAAAAAAATAATCCATGCTTAGAAACGTGAAAAAATAAAAATATTTATGTATCAATGGATAATTTTAGGCGTGAAAATAGCAGCCATTTCACAGGCACTTTAAACTACAGCATAAGTCAGCTAACAAAACATAAATAGCTCCCATGGAAACTGTAGTAACATGACATAAGGATCTAAAACCAAATAAATACAAGATTATTAAAAAAAAGTCATTGACCAGATAATGTGAAATAGTTTGGTTGTTGCGAACAGTTGTACTTTAGTGTTTATAAACAAACTTATCTTCTATAATCTGGACACCAGAAACTGCCAAAAGATCCTCCATAGTGATACCCTTTCAAGGTCTAGTATTAAACATCAGATTTTAACATCATTGTCAAACTGTTAGTCGGATTTGTAATTTAATTAATGACAGTAGAAGCTGAAATTGCAAGTGCTATCATTGTGGAAAACTGTGACCATTTCTAGTATTATATTGGCACAACTCCAAATAGGATCATGACCCAAAAAGCACCACAGCCTTGACTCCCAATTATGAACACACAAACCAAGGGATATTTTGACATAATAGAAAAGGGCAAGGAAGAATGCAATGTCGGCAAATGACAAATCAAAATGTAAACAAATATTCCTTATCCCAACGATGTTAATTTCAGTCTCGAAAACAGGGGAAATATGCTGGACACACGCACGCCAACTTCCGTTGTGAGTGGGCGAACCCTCAAAGCAGATCAAAACACAAATACGGCGTTGTTGTGTGTAGCTAGTACAAGCGCAGGAGCCGATACACCAACTCTCATTCACTATTACACAATGCCAGTGAAAAAAATTATGTTCATCCACCAAGGAGACAAACTGGCAAAGATCTTTGACAATATCGCCTAAACGTAATTTAAATGTTAATAAATGTCTGGTCAGAGCTTGACACGGCACGTCATCAGAAGCACGGGAGGAAAGTGTTATTTTAAGAATCGATAACGTGCTCCGGAGTGGAATCATTTACATTGCATAATGACTCTTGAAGACAGCGTGCAAATTGTATCAATATTGAATCGGAAAATAATCGCATTCGTGTAGGTACACACCGTCGCCGACCATTTGTGATAACGGCGGTAAATGCAATTGAAACTTGGAGCTGTGAGACTCAACAGCTGACTTGCAAGCCATTCAGCGCGGCGACCAGTTTGCGGGTCCAGTGATCGAATCATGTGCATGGAATGATGCACACATGTACATCACGAACGATTGAAACCACTGTCATATACACTATAAAAGGATACAGCTAAGATCCAGGTCAAAGCCACCTTCTTGATATCGTCGCTTCTTCTTGCTGACGAGATTCTTGATCTTGGAAGCCATTTTCGGACTGTAGAACAGAAGCGGAAATGGTTTTCAATACTTGCCTTTTGTAAACGTCAACAAAATGTCTTACTAACAGGGATGATATAATGTTGGAAAAAATTACTGTGGGTCCTCTGTGAATAGCGATCGCTGGTCGGATTCACCCGTTCATTATCATATGTTGGTAAAATCTCGGCTATACCTCGGCTACCTTTTCCGCGATTCTAAACTCTAATGGCGTCTTTCTGGAGCACCGTTGACCTTTGAGCAAAAATTCATCCGCAACAAGTCCCGTACCAACTTTGAGTTTTCGCATTAACTGAAATTATCTTTTGAAAATCCGGACAGGCGAAGTAGTTGAAATTTAAGTTGAGTGAAGCATACAATACGTCTTAGTCAAAACCGACAAAACCAAATTACATTACCTCGCGCTGTTTTAAAGCGGAAGGATATAATGTAGAAAACTGTGCATGTCACGTGACGTGGGGCCATCCGCAGTGAGCATCCCGGGAACTCCCTGATTTACATATGAATACTATTATAGAAAAGTACAAGGGGCGGTCATTTCTCCTGGCCCATATATTTTTTTTACTTTAAATTTCTTTGGTGTTCTCCACGTTGTTATTATTATTCTTTGAGGCCTAGGTCCAACCCACTGCACTAAAAAAAAAACGCTTCGCAGATTAATAGTATAGAATTAAACAAGGAGTTATGGTTTGTCAAATCTAATTGGTAAGGGATGGACCATTTAACAACCTGGAGGGCAGAACAGTGCTAAGTACGCATTATTTCAGTTGTCGCCTTCTTACAGACGATGTTTGCGTTATTCGATGATGGATATATCCTCGTTTCATTGCCTCGGGCTACTCATATACAGCGTGAAACACCAAATTGTTCGTTTAACGTTTAAGGGACACTGAAAACAAAGAATTTCGTGCTATAGATATTTAAATAAGAAATATTAGTAAAGTTTTTATTTGAAACGTAACAAGTGAGTGACACTTGTGTTAGTATGACCCCCCCCCATCTAACTGGGTATTTTCTAGGGCACTTTTTTAGTGTGAACACCTGCCCTCAAATTTTCTCAGGTATTATTATAGGGTATTTATTTTTTCAGCATGAACAAAACCTCTCCACTGTACAGGTTTGTGTTGGTTTTTTTCTTTTTCTTTTGGGTGGTTAGTCGAACCCCTAAATTTAGGAATTGATTAGTTGTTGGATAATAGTGTACAGCCACTTTTTTTCGAAAATATCATTGAAACATATACCGGATATTTACAATCAGCAGAGTTGTTCGATCGTGTGACGAGTTGTATAGGTGGAAGAGGCACTTGCAGCACAACTTCAGTGTCAACAATCTGTCCCAGATTGTTGCTACAGCACTGAAAGTATGCGTTGAATCATACTTTCCCAACGTATTTGTTGAGATATATGGCATTCAACGATCGAAAACGTTATCAACGTCTGTTCCTATATGGCTGATACTGCCCAATAAATCCATATCAACAAGTCATTGAAAATGACACACTCCCCGTTAAATTTTTGAAAGTTCTCTTTGTGCTCGTCATATTAAAGCGGGGGGGTTGTCGCGAGCGTGTCCTTGAAACTCGAGTTCCAAGTGGCGTATACAACAGATTGTTTATTTACATCAAAACACGTGTTTCATGTAGTAGTAATATGGCCAAAAATAAAAACAGCCGTTATTCGGCCATCTTTGATCTGATTATTAAACACACTGATATGTATGATGTATGTGCCAAATACGAATGAAAATGGTACATAAATTGTGGAAATATAGTAGTAAGGCCAAAAAGTCAGATGGCTGTCAATCAGCCATCCCTGACCAGATTTTGAAATAAATTGTCATGGACATGCATCCTAACATGTATAAAGTACATGTATGTGCTAAATTTGAATGAAAACTGGCAGAGTACTGTCATGAATTTGTTTTCGCGTATCTGTTGACCGACTTAATTAGCTGATTATTAGCGAATTGCTGTGTTATGTCTGTCATCGTGTAGGCCTATTTGATGTTTTGGACGGAACTTGGCTCAGTGATTTGGAACTAATTTCCAGATATCCGTCGCGATTCTGACAGTTTATATCCATAGTTAATAATGTAGTGAACGATTAATCAAAAGATATGACGTATTCAGTACTTAGTGTGATTGGCTTTATGATTGAAGGTTACGCCCTAGAGCCTTTTAATGCATTGTAATTGGTCAGAGTTTTGAAAATGAATAAAGAGAGTTAGAGTTGGTCTTGAAGAATACTCCACGACAGACGCAGTAGAGAAGAGAGAGAGGGCAGTCCGAGAGAGTCTTGGGGCGAGCCTTGACGCAGTCCAGTCTTGGGCGAGTCTTGGTTCAGCCTTGGGAGAGTCTTGGGGACTTTTCCCCAGGGCGCTGTGTCTTATAGAGTGCTCCAAAAGATCGACTAAGACGAGAGTTGAAACGTATTTCGTTGTGTGTGCCTTATTTGACTGTAAAGTATAAGTGACTTTCCCGATCCCGTACCTCAAGGGGACGAGATAGAGAGACGAGACGAGTTCCCCACCTGACAAGTGTGGAGAACCCCCCAGAGAGAAGAGATTTATCCCCTGAT